CTCTCTCTCTCTCTCTCTCTCTCTCTCTCTCTCTCTTCCTCTCCAGGAACTGAACCAGTTATCACCTTGATCCTGGACTTCCTAGCCTCCAGAACTGTGAGAAAATAAGTTTCTGCTGTTTAAGCCACTCTGTGTATGGCAGCAACAGAAGGTGGCAAGTGTCACAATCTTACTTTCATTTTCTGGGTACCCTTTTCCACCTGTTGCTCATATATCTATACTATGTGCCGTATAATTGTCTTATATGGTGAGGAGCACAGTTTTATTTATTTTTAATTTTTTTCTTTATTGTTGAAAGTATTAAAGATGTCCCCTTTTTTCCCCCTATTGATCCCATCCACCCGGCATCCACCCCTACCGCCCAGGTCTTCTCCACACTATTGCCTGTGTCCACAGGTCATGTACACAGTGGTACCTCGGTTTTCAGATGTAATCTGTTCTGGAAGACCATTCGAGTTCTGAAACATTCAAAAACTGAGGGATCAACAGCTCACCGCTAGGCCTCAGGACCTTGCACTCAGTGGAAGCCGTGTGGCATGTTTGACTTCTGAGGCGTGTTCAAAAACCGTAGCATTTCCTTCCAGGTTTATGGCGTTGGTAAACCAAAATGTTCATCAACAGAGATGTTTGAAAGCCGACGCACCACTGTATATACATTTAAGTTCTTTGATTGATCTCCTCCCCCCGACACTCCCCACTCCCGCCTTCTGAGGAGCACAGTTTTAATTGGAAGCTGGAAACATGCTTAAGGCCCCAAAAGAAATGGACTTTATCTGGTAATCTAAGAGTGTGGAAGAAATAGTTCAGCTTTGGAATAGGGAGGTTGTGTGTCAATAATGGTTATTTAAAATTTTAATGACAGGACAAGACCGCCCAGAATGAAATAATGAAGTCTTGCATACTGGTTAAAACGAAATACATTTAATTGAGTGATGCATACCTGTATACCTGAACTTATCTTGCCATATGAGGTAGTACATTGGGATTCTCTGGTACTGGAGGAAAATGAATAATTTCTAGTGGCCTACTACAAATGCCAGACTGTGGAATACAATGTGATGGAAGGGTAAGTACACAAGAAATATAGGAGGAAGAGTGTGTATTAATCTCAGGGGCCATTACAAAGCTGCTCAAGTTAATTATGACAATTATGAATTATAGTTTTGTGTCTAAAAGTTTATCATAAAGACTCTAAGGACTTAGCCTAATTCTCATCTCTTACTAATTAACTATTCAACTAATATGTTCAACAAATACTTATGGAATGATTACTATATGCCAGCATTCTTCTAGGTATTAGAGAAACAGAGTGGAATAAAATATGTTTTCTTTCCTCCAGAACTGGCAGTAGAGCAGGAACACAATTACACTACAATGTGATCAAGTCTAGAAACACATAATTATAATATAGTGTGGTCAGGTTTGCTAGAGTGTCTGAGGCCACACAGCTAGCTAGCTATAGGCACGATAAAGGCTAGAATTCTGATTTTCTGATTTTGAGCCCACTATTATTTTCACTACGACAATACTGCCTGCCACAAAATATTAACAGTGAGAAAATAAAACTAAATGTAATTTCAAATTAAGAATCATAAATTTATTTGGAAATCACCAAACCTGGACGCAGCTGGACCAACACGTCTCCTGGTGTCACCTGGGTATTAATTTCATTTTCAACTGGTATTACATGCACAGACGGGTATTCTATTGACTCAATCGAGCATCCTTTACTTATTAAATTGGAAACAGTATCACAACGTTCACTCCTTGATCCACCTGAAATGAAATCCTGTTTAAAAGAAGGAAAATCACTGACATTTTTAGTGCATATCATCTCAATTATAACCAAAGAAAACCACATAACAAATGTTGCAAAGAAGCCATCTTCTAATCTTGCACCACTTATGCAACTGTTCAAAGTAGCTGCATGTTTCCAATAAAAGTACTGACAAATTTGTTTTAAGTAAAGCTTTAATTTCTAAATCTTATTTAAAAAGAAGAAAATGAATATTAAAGAAGAGATTTAAACCACTTACTTTAAATATTGTTAACTGGTCACTGTAAAATTATACCAATTTTTAATTCTTTCTAAATATTTTACTTTGGAAGGACTGCTCCAAAAGAAAATTTATCTCAAATGGACCATTCAGTGGTTCTAAATTTGAGCCTTAGTTCTCAAAGAATTCAACTGGTATGTTTATTATATACTGTTATGTTTGGAATATGAGAGCAAGTCCTCTGATGTCACATGCTTAATTACGTACAGAAAATTCATCAGAGAGTGAATTGGAAATCTGCAGTTCTTAGACTATGAAATCTGCCAACTTCTTATACACAAAAGAGTAATTCAATAAACTAAGGATGATCGATGCTCATAATGAGGCAGGGAGGTAAGATGGCAGCTCAAATTCTCTTGATTTTGCAACTGAATCTAGAACTTTCATTACCATTCAGCATTGGCTAGTTGATGTTTATACAATAACCATCCAATAAATTGGAATTAATGGAGCAACCTTAAAATTTAGTTTATCTTAGCTGAGAAAAAAAACACACCTGATGTTTTTATTCTTCATGTAACCATTCGGGTGTTTTCCTAAGAACAAGATATATATTGACAAGTATAGAAATATGTTTTATTATATATAATGTTGGCTTGAATTATTTGTGATATTTGCTTACACATTAGCTAGATATTTATTTGCTCAGTGATCTTCCTGGCTATTTCGATCTAGCATTCAGTTATTCCTCCTTTAGTTCAGCTGATTCAGAGGACTGGATTTCCAATCAATTAATCATTCAATCAAAGAATGTTGATTGGATACTTAGAGAAGTTTGTTAGGTGCTGAGGATACAGAATGCAACAAGATAACAGAGTTCCCTTCATCAAAGAGTCAACAGACCATCAGTGAATCCAGCCATTAAGCAAGTAAATGTAATTATCACGGACATTAAAGTTACGGGACGTACATATTGTCCTAGGGCTCTGGAGATTATTAATCTTAATATGAGTTGAATATGAGATCACTCACTAATGATGAACAAAAACATCCCTGGCAGTGGAGAGTAATTAGATGGCACGGTGATAGGCAATATAAAAACATTCATATAAGGATTTTAATTTAATTCTCATCTCAATTTAGAATAGGAATGGGAAAACCCATTGCTTGTTTTTGTATGGCTTTAGTGCTAAAAAAATGCTTTTTACATTTTAAAAATGCTGTAAAACAATAATAAGGAGAACATGCAACACAGAGAGTATGTAGCCAACAAAACTTAAAAATTTTTACTATGTGACCCTTTACAGCACTGATCCTTAGAGTGTGGAGAACACTTGTAATTTAAACATAATTAAAAGACAATAGAGAATATTTCCTTTTCAATCAAGACTTTCAGGTGTCATTTGGTAAAGGACTTCATGGAAACAGAAAATTCAACTTGGTTTGCTATTGACCATACACCTAGATTTTAGCCTGAAGTTTAAAATGTTCAAAGCCTTAATTTTGTGTATCCAAATGTATCCTTTCTATTGATAAAATTTAGAGGTACTGAATGTGAGCTGTGGTTTATAAACAACTTGGAGAAAGTTGTTTCTCTGGTTCCTCAGAGAGAGGTGGCATATACTTTCATCATATATGTTACTTTCCTTCAGAAAGCCTCAGGCCAGATTGGGATGGGGGATCCCACCTGTGCTGGAACCTGAGGAATATGTGTTCATTCAGGCCTCACACGACAGGACACAGACCAAGGGCCACATGTGTTTTACAGATGTAAAAACCCCAAGCCTTCAAATCAGGAAAGGAATAAAATACAAATAACTCTGATTTTTCTTTTCAGCCAGGGATTTTACTATTTGTATAGACAGAATGGAAAAGAAGTGAGTGTGGTTAATTCACTGCTACTATACATCACACTATGCCACTTGACCTTTGAATGTCAAATGGTTTGCTGACACAAGCCAAATAGTCTCAATTATTCTTCAGTGTCTAAAGCAGCGTGGCTGTTTTTACTCCACTGTAAAAATAATGTTGTACACCTGAAACTAATATAATTTAAAATTTTTAAAAAGAATGTGAAAAGGAGATGGGATATTGTTTGCATTTTCAAGTAGCATGGTCAGATGACATTTGAACAAAACTGTGAAGGATCAGAGAGTGAACTACAGGGACTTCTGGAGGAAAAAAAAAACAAACACATGAAAAGCGAACATACTGTGTAAATGCCCCAGGCAGAAAGAAGTATGCCTGGCTTGGGCAAGGCCAATGCAGAGGCCAGAAATAATAATAATAGGAATAAAGCAGCTAACTTCTGTTGAAAAAAACACACCAAGTTATAAAAACATTGCCAATTTGACAATTAGGTTTGAAAAGGAAAGAAAAGACTGTGGCATCAAAATAAAGAATGGAATGCTGCCCCTATCTACTGTGGCCTACTTTCCACTTTGTATAAAAGAAAAGAATTTCAAGCCACACCCGTTTAATTTTTGGTGTTTTGTGGCATTTTAATTTCTTCTAATTCTTATGTTTTACTTTTTCTACAAGAAATACTCCAGCAAATTCATACTTTGATGGTCTACATCTAAAACCTGTTTGGTGGTGATGTTTTGTTGAGATGTACACTTGAAACCTGTATGGTTTAGTTAACCAATGTCACCCCAATAACCTCAACAACAACAAAACTAGGATTAAATGTTGAGTTTTTAAATTTGGCATCAAATTCTATAGTATAAATATAGTTATTTTGAGGTTATTAACTGAACTGATATTATAGTCATGGAAATTTTATGTCATATAAAAATTTCCTCAAAAGTGTTTCATTTTGTTTATTATATAACTTAAGTATTCTTGTTCTTTCTAAAATATATTACTTCGTATTTTTAAAAAAGAATAAAACCTATTTGGAATGAAAAGCCCATGTTGACGTTACCCTGGTTGGCTTTTCCTCAGTTATTTCACCCATTTAATGGAATAATCTGGGGAGATAAATAAGAAAAGCGTTTTCTCCTTCTCATTTCTGAGCCCTTCTGAGTTTCAAATTGACAATCTTCACAGAAATGAAAATTATATCATCTTCTTTATGACAGTGAATGCCCTTTGTATCATTTTAATATAATTATGCTGCAAGGCTGCCCTCTAAACTTCTGGCTATGCAATCACAACCTGTATCTGACATATCAGGCAGGAAAGGAAGAAAAACTGGTCAAGTTTTTGACATATGCTGAAAAGGAGCATGAGGCATTAAACTAGGTAGTATCGCTAAGATTCCATCTTAAATATTTTTCAGTTGCTTTTATGTAGCATGGAGAGAAAGAGAAGGCAAAATATATATACACTGGCAGATTTACATGCTACACAAGAATGCAGGCAAATTGAGTAAATATCCTGTGTAAGTTTTCTAGCAATCTTTTACTTTTTGTTGTTGTTGAAGAGAAAGAGACAGGGGTGAGGGAGAGGAAGCAAAAAAGAACACACAGAGAGAGAGAACACACAGAGAGGTTTTTAACACTTTGTTATTTATAGTACAGTTGTCATTCTTATCTTAGTACTAGTTATTTTATCTACTATCTGGTCCTAGGTTTATTTTATTCAGGTCATAATAGTCTCTTAGCTAAAGGGCTTACAACAAACTGATCATTAGTTTAGCTTCAGGGCATGAATACTAAAAAAAAGATACCAATTCTATTTCTTTAAACTTTTTAAATTTTATTTTTTAATTACAGTTGACATTCAGTGTTATATTAGTTTCAGGTGTACAGCATATAGACATTTATATAATTTATGAAGTGATCAGCCCAATATGTCTGATACCTTACATAGTTATTACAATATTAGTAACTATATTCTCTAAGCTATACTTTACATCCCGTGACTGTTTCATAACTGCCAATTTCTAATTCTTAATTTCTTCACCTTTTTCACCCAGCCCCCCAAACCAACTCCCATCTGGGAACCATCAGTTTGTTTCTTTATCTATGAGTTTGTTTTTGTTTTGTTTGTTTATTCTGCTTTCTAGATTCCACATATAAGTGAAATCATATGGTATTTGTCCTTCACTGTAACTCATTTCACCTGGGACAGTACTCTCTAGGTCCATCTGTGTTGTCCCAAGGGGTAAGGTTTCATCCTGTTTTATGGCTGAGTAATATTCCATTGTGTATATATGTACCACTTCTTTTTTTATCCATTTGTCTTTTGGCTGGCCTATTTAATCCACTTACATTTAAGGTAATTATTGAGAGGTATGTACTTACTGCCATTTTACGAATAGTTCTCTGATTGTTTTTGTAGTTTTCTGTTCTTATTCTCTTGCTCTCTTCTCTTGTATGTTGATGACTTTCTGTGGTGTTGTGTTTGGATTCCTTTCTCTTTATTTCTTATATGTCTCTTGTAGAGTTTTGGTTTGTGTTTTCCACGTGCTTCATATATACCAAGCTATGTTTATAGCATTCTATTTTAAGTTAATAGTCGCTTAAGTTCAAACACTTTCTAAAATCACTACCATTTTTACTCACCCCCTCCATGTTTATGTTTTTTTTCATTATATTTTACTTCTTTTGTGTGTTTGTATGTATCCCTTAATTTACTGTTGTAATTACATATGATCTTCCTACTTTTGCCTTTTAACCTTTGTACTAGCTTAGTGTTGGTTGATCCATTGCTTTTATTATGTGTTTGCCTTTGTCGCTGAGATTTTTTTTTCTTTGTGAGGTTTTCTTATTCATATTTTTTATTTTTTCTTCTTCATTTTGAAGAAGTCCCTTTAACATTTCTTGTAATACTGGTTTGATGATGATGAACTCCTTCAGCTTTTCTTTTACTTTTGACCAGCTTTGAAAATCATATAAACCAGGCTTAATTTGTTACTGTTTATCTCTTCTAATCATGAACAGATAAAACCGTATCTTCCTTCCTTGTCCCTCCACCCTTGCTGATTGAGGATGATAGACATCAGTTGCATGCGTGCCTAAGCAATGGACAATCTTTCAAAATTTATTACTACATTCTTTCTCTTGATGATGTCTGGTCAGCCTGTAGGAGTGGACAGCTCCTTTAATGATGTGGCTAGTGGAAGCAATGAGATTGGTCCCAGGAACTTTGGAATTGTCCTCTTATGGGATTGCCTGGCTCCGTGGGTTCTGGTAAAGCACCACTTAGTTTTGAGTGACATCTGATTTTTTCACTGGTAAAACCCAGTCTACATTGAAGAAGCCTTGAGGCTCTCAGTAGGAGGAGTGCTTACTTTCAGACATGGCTGCTGTTTTGTGAGCCCCACTCCCCCATGCCTCTTTCTTGACTTGATTCATAGAAAAAAGTAATGTCCACTATCCTTTGCTACTTTTCACCTTTCTTTTTCTTCCTGGGGGATGCACAAGAGCAAGCAGTAATAAGAGAGGTTGAAAAGATGATGGTAGGTGCAGTTTTTGAGCTAAATCAGAGGAGCTAAAGCTAGAGATTTCCCTTCATGTGAAGCAAAAGGCCATTAAAGATCTATTTGTTCCAAGTCTTAGGGGCTACATAAAATAAATGCAGAACTGCCTAGGCCCAGTCTCATAAAAGAAACCCCAAATTAGCAGATGGCTTCTTTATTGCAACTTATTATAGAAGGTAGTTCTGATTGAAGATTACCAACAACATTCACAACACAACTTTAGAGCCAAGGAAGAAGGAATGCATTATAATTATTTTACTAAGAAGTTACTGGGATAAGTTTCTCTTGTTAGAATATAAAACACTAATTTTGAACAATAAACATTACTGAATTATTTTCCATTCCGCAGAATTTAAATGTGCACAATATCACATGAGCAGGGTCGCGTGTCAAAAAAAAAGCACCCCATTTTCCATAAGTAACTAAAGAATTGATGCACAATGTTATGACAGAGTAAATGACTTACCTTCAAGTATTTTAAATAAAAATGAATGAAACAGACCAATAAAATAGCTTGCTTTTTTTAAATAAGCAAGTACAAGACAACGATCCAGCTTGGATATATAACCTAATGCCCCAAGCTGCAGCAAGAATTTCACACAAAGCCTTCTGACCTAGCAAAAGTTACTCTCAGTGTTTGCCAATTTTCTCTATAGAACAGATGGAAAACATAAAATGGTTTGCACTTCATTTCAAAATTACCATAATTTTCCTAATAAAAAGGTTATACTTTATATTCAGCCAGATAGGCTGTTTCCAAGCATAAAACCAAGTAAATTTTTCCTGATGCTCATCAGTATCCTTTTCTTGATGCACCTTCAAAGTATAGAATTTCAGGGCAATGAAATTATGCTAGAGAGAAGGGCAACTGTGAGAAAAACAGAATAGAGCAAAAAAAGAAAGAAAAAATGGGCACACCTCTTGAGCACACCATCCACATTCTGGACCCAGCGCAAGGCACCTGGTGCAGGATACTGCATTGGAAGATGCACATCTGCTGTTTTCTGTAACGCAAGACAAGATGGGGGGTTATGGTTTACTCTCCTGTTTGGAGGTATATACAATTCTAAACAGAAATGTTTTTTGAAAACCGAAATAAACTGACCAACAGTTTTAAGTACATGACATCAAAAACTATACAACTTCTTTGGGAAGATACTATTAATAGATACTGCATTTCCCAGAGAGTTATTTTTGGATTTTATTATTTGGGGAACACGAGAGCAGTTAAAATGTGATTTTAGCTAGGTTTGGGGGTTTGGCTTGAATTCTGCTGCAATAGGAGAGGACCCTCCAAAGTGTTTAATGTATTCAAGTTTCACTGTATTTCATATTATCTGAACTAATGAGGTGTTTTTGGATCTAGGATTTTTCCTGTAAAAATAATCAACACAGACCTCAGTCTCAACATGTAAATCCATGTTGAGTCATAGTGAATGAACTTTCTGAGAAATAATCTTGATGGACATATATTGTAATTAATTTGTGTTAATATTATTTTGCCTTGAAGGACATCAGGACCAGATATGATTTAGTATTTTAAAGATAAAGTGGTTAAAATGAATCGGTTGTTTTAGTTATTTTCATTTCTCTGACTTGATCACTTTAACATCATGACCACGTCACTTTTCCATAGATACCTACACTTGGGTGTGACATTTTCATAACATAGCTGTGCCTGGAAACTATTTACCTTTACCCCTCTAGCCACTAACTACTTATACCATTAAAAAAAGGCTTATCATTATAGACTTAAACACATAAAATATAATAATGAGTCATAAATTATTAGGAGTTTTTAGTGGACTAATCACATACTTTCTATATTCTTCTTACATGCTTCCTACATCCCACCCTTTACTATTTACTGTGAAATGTCCCAAGGACACTGGAAACCACAGAATTATGTCCAATTCACAGGCACACAGTAAACAACATAGACATGCTGGCTGTAAGGAGCTGGCAATCCAGGTGAGAGGAAAACTAGAGACACAAACCATGAAATACAGTGTGATAAGCACAGGGGATCACCAAGGCACTATGAACATAGTGAGGAGCTTCCCACTACGCCTTAGAGGGAAGGGTGGGGGTGAAAAGGGCGTGTTTAAGGATGGCTCCCCAGAGGCAGTGGAATCTAGTATATCTCTTTGTCATCTCATTTTGTTTCTTCTAATCTGTGTTTATCTCTTTAAAAAAGTGTAATAGGCACGAAAGAAGACGGCATGTGTGCGCACAGTCACACGGACATGCAGTTTGAACGAGGAGAGAGCCCACAGTCTCTAGCCGTCCCCATCCAATTGGTTTCTCTTTTTCTTCTTTTTCAGCTTGCCCCAAACATTCTAGAAATCAGGTCTAAAACAGCTCTTATCTGGAGGTAGTATGGGATGGGAGCTGGCAGTGGGAAGAAAGAGAGAGGACCTGTAGGGGTTAATCATAGCAGAGAGGTGCTAACTTGGATGGTAGTGAGTACTCTTCCCTGTAACCCCAGACACCGAGGAGTTAAGCTGCAAGTACCCTTCCTTGACATCCCTGCTGCTCTATTATCTCCTGTGTCCCCTTGCACCCTTTGTCCTTGGCTTTATATCAACTCTTAAAATACATTATCTAAAACTTCATTAATATAGTCACTGGCCTAGAATTTTCTTCACTGGCCTAGAATTCCAAGGACAAAAAATAACTAATGTTTTGGGCTCCCTTTACTACCAGTGTGGCCACCTAACTCTGAAGACTCCATAGACTAAAAACCTGCCAACTGGCTTAGCCTGGAAAACTGTAAAATCTGCTTATTCCTAAAGTAGTCAGAAGAGCAAGTGACCTTTTTACTTGTTCCCAGAAAGAAAACCACTTTAGGTCTAGAAATCAAGCACATTTGCAGACCTAACTTGACCTTTACCAACTCTTAAGCTTGACCCAATTGGAACAGGGAATTAATTTTATTACAGACCAGACTTGACCAAGCCTTTCACTGAATAGGTAGGACTTTTGCTCTGGCAGTTAAGACTGCAGTCTCCTGGAAGGGAAGCAGCAGATTCTATGACATTCTGCTCTTCATGTTTGTAATGGTTTTCTCTGTCCTAAGTTAACCCAGATTCAAGTTCAAGTCAGGCTCCCACTTCCATAGCACATGAGGTAAATAATGAATGTACAAACAAAACTCTGTTCTCTTTGTATTCTGCTTTCTTTAATAAGTTCTTGGTCAACTTCTGTTCTTAAACTTCAGACGCCTCAGGATGATGACTCAGAAGGGGAGAGACTTTGGTTCTGTCAGTACTTCCCAGGTTCAAAGGCTGACATTTCTCCACATCTATGTAACTACCAGAAAGTGATCCCATAAATGGATATGAGGAGGTGGGCCTCATGGTTCTGCAGAACTGGAAACTGGAGGAAGGCCATAAATTGGACTCCATGGAATAGTGTCAGATGTAATTGCTGGAGAGCGTCATCGTTAGACTTTACAGAAGACAAGCCAGATACACTTCAGTAAAGAAAATTGTAAGGATTTTCTTTTTAATTTTAAAAGGTGCAAGTCATTAAATACCTAACACAAAAGTATAACATCAATTATAGCAATTCTTTACACTAAATAGACATGCGACTGTGGGAGCTATTTGTCACTATGTGTTAGGAATCTGTGTGTCTGTCATATACACACTTCTGTGCAAACAGAAAGCTTTACACTGCACACACATCAGTGCAGGACTTCTGTTTACAGACACTGACAGTTTGTCATCAGCCTCTGGGTCTACTCAGTTCATTCCTATCCCTGATTCAATGTCACAGGAAGGCTACTTTTTAGAGGTGGTTTCCCAGCAGCTCTCATATTCTTCTGTCTATGATAGTGGCAGGTCCTTGTCCAGTTATTTGTCCAGTGATGTGGCATTAAACACCTGTTCTTTATGTTCTCGCACAGTGTTTTCATTAAGGATAGTTTTTTTTATGGATCATACTGGAAATCCTTAAGCCAATGGAAGCATTAAACCACATATCCTCAGATCCGTCTTTTGTACTTTTTTTTTTTAGCCCTAAGTGCCTCACAAATCACATGTAGTTAAAAAATGTGCTGTCTTGACAGAAATCAGTAGAAGATTAAACATCATAGTGTCAGTATGTTTGTATATTCTGAATAATTCTATTCCTTCATCTCTGAGAATGGGCTGAGAGCCTTACTTTTTCTCATTTTGTTAGAACTGGAGGTAACAGATGCGATGAGGTAGCATTGCTAAATGGATACTGGGAACAAAGTTCCAAATTTTCATAGCACTCCTCCATAGTAGCTATGTGCCCTTAGGCTAGCTATCTAAATTCTCTGAGGCTCCTTTTCCTCTACTGTAACACAGGGCTAGCTACACCTATATCAAAACACCAATAGGAGATGAAATGAGCAAGTATAAGCATGCCAAGAATAGTGCTTATGGTATAGTAGAAACTCAGTAAAGGGACTATTGTAGTGTTATTATAATTAATATTATATAATTTGTATGTGTGTGTATATATATATACACAGATATATATATTCATACATATACTTGATTTAATTCTAGCTTTCATAAAAGTAAGGCATTATAAGTCTTTAAATTTGTTGTAAATGTAACTGGCTGTCTTTAAAATGAAAGTCACTTGGGTCATAAAGGCAAAAGTTTAAAAATATAGCTAATATATAAAAATCACTATTAAGGCAAAAGTTACTGTATTTTAGTTATTGATTTTTAAAAGCCAGTTTAGTCAAGTATATACATATCAGTTCAATCTATCACAGATACAATTTTGGCGTGACTATAATTGGATTTCTGAAGATGTCTTCAAACACCTTCAGTTTGTTCGCATTTGCAAAGTGGACATTGGCTTAATCTGAATAATTTTTGAGTTATTTCCCAGAATTAAACGTTTAGGACATGTGTGAAAAGATCTCTGTAATTGTCTTTCATGAAATATGATAAATATCCATTGTTAACAGGATAGAGTACACAAAAATCAAGAAACTGCATATTCATGACACTCTCTTGGGTGGTCTTTAATTTAGGTGATGGGTTTATCCATATTATTTTGAGCATATTCAATCCATAGAAGTGAAAGGAGGAAGAAAGTGGACGAAAAATATTAAAGAAGACAATAGAAGAGTCAATGTTTAGATTGGGATCTTTCTATAAGGCAAGTGATCAGATCAGTAAAAGTTTTAGGAAACATTTTTAATGTTTTTCTGCTCTAAAGTCTATGCCACAAAATTTTAACAAAATTTAAAGGATCTCCATAGTTTTCTGGAAGAAGGAACAACTAAAATTGATAAATATTCATTGTAGATTCCACTATTACTCCTGCCTGGTAGAATGATTTGTAAAAACAGAAACGCACTATTTTTTTCCAGGCAGTATCCTCTTCCTAATTACATTTACTCTACAAATTAAATTAAACTTGGATAACTATAAAAGCTACTTCCTTTAAAAAACAATAACAAAGTAAACACTGTTATAATGAGTACATATTATACTCTGATAACATTCAATACCAGGCAAATTGACCACAGATAGAATAAAGTTTGCAGTGTAACTTTGGGGTCTCCTTGCTCTAGGGCAGGGGTGGGGAATCCAGCCATCACATTAGGGGTGAGTTAATTAAATGCTTCACCAAATATAGCAGGCTAATTTTTAAGCTGATAATTTTGTATGGCCCTCGAATGATGTTATAAATGTCCAAATGGCCCTTGGCAGAGAAAAGGTTCCCCACCGCTGCTCTAGATGTTCATCATTGTCATGTAAATTTTATAGACACCTTCAAAATATATAACCTGATAATTGAAAGCTCTGTTTCTCACAGAAATTTAAAATATGCTATCATTTGATAAGAAAAATCAAAATGAAGAAATAGATCTTTTGCCACTACCTAGTTATTCCAAGTTTTGATTGAGGAACTGTTTCCTAAAAGCCCCTACAAAAATATAGGGAGGGAAGAGGTTGTTAGGGCTACTTCTTAGAAAAGCAGGCACAGGTAACAAAACCAAAGTCAATTA